CTGCTAAAGGATTGATAAATATCAGTGAATTGTCTTGTTTCTGTGTAAACTGTTGTCATCACACGTATGACCAGTGTTCTAATTCGATAAAAACTGGTGGTTATACTGAATGGGAAATGAAGCGAGAATACAGAGCGGATGCACAAGAAAATGAAGAAAATGAACAAGTGTCTTTGCAAGAATTAGTTTCGGTTGGTCAATTAGTTGCATTATATACTGACGACGATGAGGAGGAGTACTACATGCTGAAAGTAGAGAAAAGCATGGAAACGTTACGCATTGACACAACGGATTCTTGGGGATCTTTACTCCCTGCGGGAACACCTGTGTTTCGTGGTCTATATTACAACAAAACGAACTCGCCTTTTCAATATCGTCTTGTGAACAGGAAAGCGGTTGTACCTGCTGCGTCAGTGGTCTATATTTGTTCGGAAGTAACCGCAAACAATGTCATTCGAATAACAGAAGAAACACATTTAAATGTTTTAGAATGTATTAATGAAATAAAATGCTAGAAATTTATTAATCAGTATTTATCCCTATAAAGAAACAGTAGTTATAGAAACCAATAATATATGAAAATATATACATGTACATGTAGGGAATGCTTTAAAGAGATAAAAACGAATGGGGGGACAATCGTGACAAACATAAATTCATACGTTCGTTTAACAACAAGCGACTTGGATAAAACGTCAGTCAAAAAGTGTATTTCGACGTTATTTTAATGTAACGTCAGGTATCACCAGTATCGTGCGTAACGTCCATATGTACAATTTACCTCAATTTAGGATAGACTCTTGAATTTTGAAGAGTCAAAATAGGATGAACGGATCATATAAACCCGAAGGCAAATAAAATACAAGCCCAAACGAAATAATATAAACAAGTCTAAATTGAAAACAACGTTCAAACCTATGAATATGTTGGATAAAAACCGCAATTTTTATACGTGTGCATGCAAAACAAATTTCTTGTCAGAGGGGTCTAAATACAGCACAAACAACATTTTCCAAAAGACCAAAAAAGTGAAAAAGTTTATTTTAACAAAACGCATTTGACTAACAGGTCGAACAACAAATGTTCTTAAACCCTACTGACTGCCATTGGCGATTGCCAAATAAACGGATCACCGATGTAATAAATGGACCTTAATTATAAATTTAATACTAAACTTGCGGAAAAGATGGTATACAGCAAACAAAAGGTGCAAAGGTTTTTGTACACCATATCCGGATTTCGACAATTAATGTCTCTTCAGTGATGTTAGGAATCGAAACGGTATTTAGAAAGCCATACAATTTACCTCAATTTAGGATAGACTCTTGAATTTTGAGGAGTCAAATTAGGATGAACGGCTCATATAAACCCGAAGGCAAATAAAATATAAGCCCAAACGAAATAATATAAACAAGTCTAAATTGAAAACAACGTTCAAACCTATGATTATGTTGGATAAAAACCGCAATTTTTATACGTGTGCATGCAAAACAATTTCTTGTTAGAGGGGTCTAAATACAGCACAAACAACATTTTCCAAAAGACCAAAAAAGTGAAAAAGTATATTTTAACAAAACGCATTTGACTAACAGGTCGAACAACAAATGTTCTTAAACCCTGCTGACTGCCATTGGTGATTGCCAAATAAACGGATCACCGATGTAATAAATGGACCTTAATTATAAATTTAATACTAAACTTGCGGGAAAGATGGTATACCGCAAACAAAAGGTGCAAAGGTTTTTGTACACCATATCCGGATTTCGACAATTAATGTCTCTTCAGTGATGTTAGGAATCGAAACGGTATTTGAAAGCCATACAATTTACCTCAATTTAGGATAGACTCTTGAATTTATATATATAATATATATATATATGTATGTAGCTTTTCCTGAAAAGAAATCGAAATAATTAATCTCGTATTTTTTACCATTCTTCAAAACCCGCACTAATAAATGCATTATTAATTTTGTAAAAATATTTCCTTTCTCTATTTGAACTGTACACATATACCTAACAATAACATTATTTTCATTTACCTGTGTTTAAAGTAATTTTTATATAGATTAGACCGTTGGTTTTTTCCGTTTGAATGGTTTTACACTAGTAATTTTTGGGGCCCTTTATAGCTTTCTGTTCGGTGTGAGCCAAGGCTCCGTGTTGAAGACCGTACTTTGACCTATAATGGTTTACTTTTATAAATTTTGACTTGGATGGAGAGTTGTCTCATTGGCACTCATACCACATCTTCTTATATCTATGAAATGTACGCAATAATTTCTGAATTTGAAGTATTTTGTTTTAATGACATACTATTACTTCAGTCAAACCAGGTTTAAAGATTATCTATATTACGCAAGAACATGTTTTGGCAGATCATCGTCTTCTTGTCCAACTGTAGTAATACACGTACCTATGCATTCTCAACCTCAGTTCGAAGGTCATCTCTCTCGTAAGGTCAGTTTTCTTAGGTTTGACTGTAAGTCTAAATCAGAGGGTATTAATTAAGTTTAAAATTTAGTAAAAAACAAATTAAGTTAGTTTAAAAAGTATAAAGTCACTATTTTCATTGAAATAAACTAACGAGTATTAATGAATATAAGCAGGTGAAGGAAAAATTAGGTTGGTTCCCTCCTTAAAACATTCAGAGTATGCCTTCGGAGCATACATTTCTGAATTGTCACACAGGTACCAGTCTAGGACAGAATATACCCAAACTAAAACCAAACAAATATACTGTCATTCGGCACACCTCGACAGATCTATAGGGCAGCGGAATCTGCCGAATTTTGCCGATTTAATATACAGTGTACATGTATGAGGGTGTGGATGGGGGTATACAGAATAGAGAATAATGGGCAAAAAATTTAAAGAATACAGAAAAATGGACCAAAACAATAAGGATAGAGAATAATGAGTTGCTAGAATATGAAGAATAATGAAAACTGGCCTAAAGAATTAAAGAATACAGAGATGAAGGACCCCCTTTCCAGACCCTCATGTATCTATACAAAATTTGGTAAATTGTTTTTTTTTTTATTCATATTTTAATGATTTATATTTTAGAAATATACATTTTTCGTTGATGGTGAATCTTTCAAAAACTTGTCTATTGTTTATGGCAGATACTCTGTATCATGGCATGTAAATGTTTAATGAATTATGCATTGTTGGGCTGCGGTCACATAAGCAATTTTTTTTTTATTAACAACAAAAGGAGACCAAAAAGCTTAATGCATATTGTGTGTCGTTTATAAGCAAAGGGTTGCAATACTTTTAGTTTATGGACAATTTTATGAATGTATTTTGCAAAGAAGTGATAATAACATGAGATTAATTAAATTTCTACATCATGATAAATAACTCTCAATTTTGAAAAGAGTGTTGATACCAAGAGAGCAGTCGAAAACAAAACAAACAGTCTAATAAAAGCACACGACACAAATGGCAAACAGCAGGAAAATGACGAAAACAAAACTCTCCAAAACACTATCCAAAAAAACGAGAGACTGGTCAATACAAACAAAAACAAATACCATGAATGAATTCGTGTAACTTATTGCTCGACTAGTTTCGAAAACACTTTCGAACAAAGTAGCAACATAATTACTCAGTTTTAGACGTAACGATTATTTCCTTATGATTTCAAATTATTATGTATGAGAGACAACTCGAATTCGATTCTCAAACTGAATCATATCCGGAACAGACTATAAATATATTTAATATGAATAATCATTCGAATCAACAACTATTATTGCAAACATAAATACATTTAATTTATAATGATTTAAATAATTCAATTGAAAGCCGGATGAGGTATGGGGTTCCAGTCCCACAAATTTACCGGATCGGATCTTCATTAAATATCTATTGAAACTTTGGTTTCTAAATAAGGATATGCCTGTACAAAGTCAGGAATATGACAGTTGTTTTCCATTCGTGTGATGTGTTTGAGCTTTTGATTTTGCCATTTGATGAAGGACTTTCCGTTTTGAATTTTTCTTGGATTTCGGTATTTTTGTTGTTTTACCTTTTTTGTACATATACTTGACCTTAGTTCATTTTATTCGTGTAATCTTATAGATATGTGTCTTTACAATATGTCAAGCTCTCAATCATACAAATTCATCTAAGTTGGGAATAAATTAAACAGACTATATTAAAGATTTGTCTAAAAATGAATCATGTTAAAACAAAGTTTTTACTGTATGACAAAATAGAAAATATCTAAAAGTAATATTTAATCACAAAGTGAACAGAGGTCTCATTAATTCGTACTGTTGTCTAAGATTTGAAATGTTATAGGGACGTAATAAATTCTGAACAAAGGCCGAAGTTGTTTGTTTTTTTGTGTCCCCTGCTGGAATACATTTTCATTGTCTTAATATTTGTTCACACATTGTCTAAGGCCTTACGGTTACCTATCATAGTTGCTTTCATCCACGTCTTTCCCTTGCGTATGTTCAAAGTTTAGTAACACACACACACACATATATATATATATAATGGAGATGATGGGTTGAGCGTATATACCAATTAGACAACTAAAAAAACCCCACAAAAACCACAAATACCCGTGTCCAATTGGGAAAAGGGGGAAAAGGGTGGTGGGTTGGACCTACCCCTTATGATTTTTTTTTATTACAGACAATTAAACAACTCGAGATTCAGATTTAAGTTCGATTGTCAAAGTCAGAGCGTCGTGACCGAAAATATCCTCCAGGGACATCCTGGCTGCGGACACGACCCCCAAACATTTTGAAAAAAAAATCGTCTAAATGTACTACAGATATAAATATATATCAAAATCTCGTTTAAATTGGTTTTTGTATCGTAGACAATTTTCCCATATCCCATTATTGATCACAATTGAAAATTATGATATATGTCCTTGTGGAATCAATATAAATAGTTTAAATACCTAAGATTTTAAAAGATAGATATATTGTTCGTTACGTAATCATATATATATTATGTAGGTAAGCTATTTTAAGGACAATCTAATATGTGAAACGACTTATGATCATAAACCCGGAAGTTATAAAAATGTTTTATGAAACAACATGTCATGAATATTCTGTTGGAAGTTTTATCGACAGATATCAGAATGAAATGCCACAGTTGGTCATGGTTAAACATGGTTACCAAGGAGAAACTGGAAACGACACCTTAGATACAGGACAGGTATTTATTCGCGCGCAATCTCTCTCCATTTATGTTTACAAATAAAGAGTTCTAATGAAACGAAACAACACAGGGATTTGTTACTCGTGCTCTGTGGATGCAGTAGAATGCGTCCTCGTGCCTGTAGTGTATGCCCTTATATTTTACAGTTAGGGTTTTAGGCTTGTTAAAGAGCTGTCTACATATCCTTTCGTCATTTCGGAAACTTTTATAGCTGTCTGTTTGGAGTGGGTTTTGCACATTGTTGAAGGCCGTACGTTGACCTATAGTTGTTAATTTCTATGTTATTTGGTACCTGGTGGAGAGTTGTCTCATTGGCAATTATACATCATCTTCTAATTGTTATATATACAAAGATAATCAAGGGATTGAAAATCTTTTTCACAAAATTAGAAACAAATATTTCGATGTTTACATGGTTTACTAGAAGAACGTGAAACTAAGATTGGACTTAGACCGATTGCTTGATTTTGGTATGTTTTACGTTCAGTGACAAATATTTCATTTATATCCCAGACGTAACCGAGCTTACAAGTTACATGTCAAGTATCTTATCTCTCTTTCTCCTTATCTGTTTACATGTAGTCAGAAGAAAAATACCGTACTTACTGTATACAAGGAAGATTTCAAAAGTTAAGCATCCATATCACGAAAAGAATGCCGCCAAACATATATATTTAGAGGAAGAACTTTCATTTATTTAATCATTATAAAATATACAAAAGTAAACAACTTAGATGTGCTGTTTATGGTGTCGGTACGATTGTTTTTATTGTCTCACATTCAGTGTCAAATATTTCATGTATATTCAGGACGAGAAAAGATTTGCAATAAATCTAAAAGTTGGGTGTTCCAAGATCATAAGCTGTAATTAATTAATCAATAAATGATTCAATCAAATAAAAAGCCGACATATATTGACCCCTTAAAGAACGTTTGCAAAATTATCTTAACTTCCAGAGAGCACTATCCTTACAATAAGCACTCTCCCTATATAAAGCACTCTCCTTACAATAAGCACTCTCCTTACAATAAGCACTCTCCTTACAATGAATACTCTACTTACAATGAGCACTCTCCTTACAATTAGGACTCTCCTTACAATAAGCACTCTCCCTACATAAAGCACTCTCCTTACAATTAGCACTCTCCCTACATAAAGCACTCTCCTTACAATTAGCACTCTTCCAACATAAATCACTCTCCTTACAATTAGCACTCTTCCTACATAAAGCACTCTCCTTACAATTAGCACTCTTCCTACAAAAAGCACTCTCTTTACAATTATCACTCTCCCTACATAAAGCACTCTCTTTACAATTAGCACTCTCCCTACATAAAGCACCGATTAAACGTCCCAATTCTGACTTAATGTATATGCATTTTTATACACCTGACAATGCCAAATGTACGACGACCCTCGTTGCACGAGTTTAACAGCAGTATTGGAAAAATACATGGGAGACCATGTGTCTGCTTCAAAATCAATCATCGAGGACAAATTACAATAGATTTTATTTGCGCTGTGTCTTGTAAAAAGATATTTGTACATACATGAACTCGTTTCATTTTAAAAGTGTCGTCTTGAATATATACATTATAGCTTTCAAAAATTATTAAGTATGGGAGATGTTAGGATTCAAATTATACGAAATTATACAATATGAATATATAGAGATGTGATGTGATTTCCCGCGAGACAACAATTCACCAATAAACCAAAGGACAGTGATATGAACAACTACAGGTCATCGTACGGTCTTCAACATTGAGCAAAGTGCATTCCAGTTGAAAAGATCTATGTTGAAATGACCGCGTTATTATTTTTTACTCCTCGCCGCATTCATTCGAGGAAAGGCGATTGAGATAACTAATAAAAATTCCTAGCTTATCTATTCGGTGATATTTATAAAAAAAAAATAAATTTAGAAACTGCCTTAAACAAAACCGACTTATGCCCTTCATGCAGATACTGTTTTATCAAAAAGTCATATTTAACCACATATTTACCGAAACAAAAGACAGTAATTGTTTTATTACATGTTCCGAGACAGAAAAATATGTATACAATAACAAAAAAACAAAAAAAAACAATAAAAAAAAACAAAAAAAAACAAAACAAAAACAAAATAATAAATTAAAATAAAACATGGAGGTGTAGACGTAAGAAACTGTCTCATTGTTCAATTGGATTGCTTGGTTTCTGCTATTATATACTCTTCATTCAGTGACAAACACTATACGCTATAACGTCATGTTAAATGTGAATATGAACCCTGCTATGTACAATCCTTACACGCCCAGAATGTCTTTTACATAAAGAAATAGTACGCATGAAAACGTCCTCACACCAGGAGTTATTAATCTTACTGCAAGCCACCCAGTACTTACTACAAAATGTACATGTTTTACTCCTTAATGTAACATTCTTAGCGGAGACAGCAAAAATACACATTGTTAATCATTAGCAACATAGGAGAGCAAGTTACACTAGACCAACGAGGTAGTGTCGTATTGGACATATTGGAATAATTGTTATGGTGTGAATTTATTGTCATTCAAAGTACATGTACACCGATTGTTGTACCTTGATTGGACTAAATTGCCGCAACTAGTGAAATAAGTTCGAAAAGACGTTAAACTTGGATACAAGTCATAGATATAGGAAGATGTGGTATGAGTGCCAATGAGACAACTCTCCATCCAAGTTACAATTTAAAAGTAAATCATTATAGGTCAAGGTACGGCCTTCAACACGGAGCATTGGCTCACACCGAACAGCAAGCTATAAAGGGCCCCAAAAAATTACTAGTGTAAACATGCCCATTTCTTCTGAATACGTTCTTATATTGTGTTTTACTTGTTGCTAGGGTTTGTAAATCACCAGAACACGTGCCTTCTCTAAAGATAAAATGTATAACCTTCGAAGTCAACCGACATCAAGTTATGAATTCATTTTTTGTTTGTTCTCATACAGGTACTTAGAATTCATGGTGTATACAAACAAACCAGAATTTTAGCAATAGTTAAAAAAGATTCCAACAGATGTTTTGGATATGGAGATATTTCAGTCAGTATCCCTCAAGATTGTAACATACCAGTCTATCTTATCAAAAGAAATAATCCAGGTAATGCAAACGTTTATCTTTTGTATATATTACGGTATGTTGTTAAATATATACGTTCTATGTGTCGAATGGGTGTCGTGATTGACCCTTGAATACCGTTTAACATGTTTAAATAGTATTATTATTCCTTTTTTAAATCCATGGTTTTATTAGATCGGTAGATATTATTCTACTCTTAATCTCAGTACGGAAAAGTTAAAGGAAAAAACCATAATCAATTTACTTTGTTTTTTTTTATATTTATTTAATGTATTTTTGTCTGATTGAAATTGAGAATGGAAATGGGGAATATGTCAAAGAGACAATAACCCGACCAAAGAGCAGACAACATTGATTGATTGGTTGTGACATGCTTAACGTCCAAAGGCAAATATTGTATGCATGTTCATGACAAATATTTTTCTGATAATCTACTACAATCGTAACAACCTACAAAACAAAATGCCCGTGAAAGCGTGGAAAAAAATACAAATTAAACAATTTCATATAAAATAGATTAGTAATTATGACTGGCAATCAAACCAGTTTGTTCTTTTTGTGAAAACATGGTTTCAATTGTAAACTGTGTACATGTAAATCAGACTTTCGAAATATTGTATTAACTGCATGCAGGTTTGTTGCTTTCTAAACGTATAGTGGCGAATATTTCATCCTTATTTCGGACCCGTACACATACACATATATAGCCGTAAGATAGATTCTACAAAGTTGATTGACCACTATGATTGGAGGGAAATTTGTACTGTCACTTAAAACAAAACGGGGTATGTTTGGAAAAGGCATACATTTTCCCCTTGCAGTAAGTAAGCGAATCCTCAAAGGGATACTGCTGTGTTTTATGCATCCCAAACACACAAAAGGAAGCCCTATCAGCACGGCCTCTTTTGAGAACCAAGAGCAGTACTTGTATTTAGGATACTGTTTTTTCTATACACCGGTCAAGTTTGAATTCGGCACTAGTAATGATGTGAATATAATATCTTTTTCTTTTACCTCATGAGATTTGAATGATTATAGAAATTCAACAGAAATCAAAATATAAATGTAGAAATTAAGGATGTTTTTGAATTTTTGTCAGCCTATTCGTAATCCTCTTGTTTTATCCATGTAGTGTCATTAAAAGTTTTGCCGACTAACCCCTAATTTTCTTTTCATAGTTTTATTACATATAGTTTAAAAAAACATTTTTGAAAATATTATAAATTCCTTGTTTTTATCAAAGTTTTTTGAAGAAGAAAGGTGTCAATGTTAAATACATGAAAAATCTAGAGAGAATCATTTCCCGCCAAATTCCCAATTGCTTATATATCTCAAAAACAAGGACACGGTCCTTTCATTATTTCCAACCTTTAAACTCCATTATTTAACCACTATGCATTTTATAGCAGTCTTTTAAAAAAACTTGTTATTTGAAAAAAGAAGAGCAAGCATCATTAAGTACCAAAATGTTGATCCTCACCCAAGATAAAAAAAAAAACAAAAAATGTACATTTACAATAGATGGAGGGATGGGTGGACGTCAAGCGGCAAGTATAATATGGAGAAGAACTTGCTTTAAACTATATCCAAACGCTGAGTTTGATTTTTAACTTGCGTTTTTTATGCCCCCGCCGCTAGGAGAAGGGAGCATTAAGTGATACCTTTGTCCGTCCGTCCGTTCGTACGTATACATTATTACGTCCAAAAATTAGTATCCGTTCTCTAACTTTTAAATGAGTTTGCCTCAACATAATGTTATGAAACTACGTATACACAATGCTTATTGCAAATGTACCATAAAACACAGATCAAGTTCTAATTTGGGTGGCTTCAATTTTACAGTTCTCTAGTTATGTATTTTGATAACGTTATGTGCAACGGGGTCATCATCTGTGTCCCATGGACACGTTCTCCATTTATTTTTTACCTTATTGTTAAAGAGTCTGCAAAAAAGTATCTCATTTTTTTCCGTACACATACAAAATAATATTTATACAATCATAAATAATATTGCTCCGATCCAACCAGTTTTCGTTGTTTCTCCTAAATGTTGCAAGCGTAGCGATGAAGTGTCAACTGTCAAAGTCTTTGGTTTTGCAATGCCAGCTAGGTGTAACCAATATCCACGCAACCAGGCGACCACGCTACCAGGTGATCACGCTACCAGCCGACCACTGAGGTTGTTCTAATAATGTTTATATTTATTTCAGTGAAATGTTCAGCATTGCTACATGAAGTTATTGCTAAACATAAACTACCAGTCGAGGTCAAGTGTGACACCGCAGAGGAACCGGAAATAACATTAAAAGGTCGTAAAGCACGTTTAATCGGAGACATAAGACTTAAATTGATACAAGAAAGCGATTTGAAATACATGTATGGAAACCCAGTAAATAAAGGTTTGTTAATTAAAACTAAAAAAAAAAAAATAGTAAAAATTGTCAAGAAGGAATGTGCTGGCGAACAGGTTTCTTGAAATACAACATGACAAATATAAAAGAAATGAATATCAATATAGGGTTAATTGATTATTTGTTGTTTCATGAGTGTCCAATACCTAATTATTTAATCAAATTCAGAACGGCAATATGATGATGGAAGACTGTTTAGCGTCTAATAGCAAAGTATATGCATATCAGGACGAGCACATGACAATTTGATATGAAAATAGACCCTGCTTTGTACTAGACCGACATGCTGAGCCGGATTATTTAACGTGCTATTTCAAAAAGTAGCATTCTGCAGGAAGACATGTGACTGTAGCCGGACAGATTATTCTGACGTCGAGCCGACCAGAGCGGAGAAGAAGTAAATACCAACTTCCAAGTCATTGGTTTGAACCGGCAGAGATCGAATCCACGACCTTCCGCACCGAGGCGACAACGCTAACACGAGACCATTGAGGCGGGTCTGCGCGGCTTCAAATTAACAATTTTAAAGGTATACTGCGAAGTGGGTAGTCTAGGATGAAGGGCGGGAAGATCATCACAGTTTTTGGTGGGGTTTGTGTTGCTCAATCCTTAGTTTTCTAAGTTGTGTTTTGTGAATTGTTGTTTGTATTTTTCTTTTTTAGCCACTGTGTTGTCAGTTTATTTTCGACTTATGAGTTTGAATGTCCCTTTGGTATATTTTGCCTCTCGTTTACATAAATCAAGCTGTCGTCACATCTATAACAAAACAACAATTATTAATCATTTTGCATGTTTGTCCTTTATATTTACTGAAAATAAATTGATTGATGTGATGCTTGCTTAACGTCCTGTTTCAAATGTTTAGTGCATATTCAAGACGAAAAGAAGATGGTATGCTGGCCTAAGTTTCATTTTTTCAAATCATAATATAATTCATATATTAACAAAACGTACCAACCCAATAAAAATCTGAAATTTACTTTATGACTTTTTAAAGATATATAAACAACAACGAATGACCACCACTAAATAATCAATTACATGCTCACATACCGATTGTCGGTGTTAACCATGTTTTCGGAAGCCCACAAATCCCTTAACACGATAGAGGTGTAATAGTATATAAATAACACATAGCTGAGAGGGTGATAGAGCAGATTGTTACCCCGAGAAAACTTTGCCAATTGAGGCGAAGCCAAGGTTGACAATGTCTTTTCGAAGGGTAACAATCTGCTCTATCACCCGCCCAAGAAATGTGTTATTTAATTTATTATATTGAATGTTCTGTTATTACTGTCTATTAAATTTCAAATTTAAAGTAATAAACTATGACGTCTTGTAAATAACAACCATCTGCATTTAATAAAGCGCACACTTGATCAAGCGTCTCCGTGAAGGGTAATATAATATTTACCATACGATAGAGTAAATTGTCTCCCTCGTATCAACCAATCAAAATCTGGCATTTTGACATGAAGTATAATAACACAACATACAACATACCTATCTATTTTATATGCATACTAGGGTTAATTATTTTTCAGGACAGTTATATCGAAACGTTGTTTCCATACCCTATCACATGACCTGTTTGACGTTGTCTGTCATAACAGGGTTAGAAAATGGTAACCAAGACTACTGGGCGTCCATTTTACATTCCATGACGTATACAGCAGACAATTATATAAAGTTTGACGGCCAAATGGGTGGAAATGGTAAGCTTTTAATTAAGTAAATGTTGAAAAATACTGTGAAGGAAATAGAATTTTCAAGTCACAGTAAACATCCAACTCATCTACATTATTCAGATTCTAAACCAATCAGTCTATTAATGCTTGGCAGAGAAGCAGGCAATATCAATCGTAAGTTATTTGGATTCACACATGCAGCAGAGGAACGAACTAATGACCTCCCGTATTCAATACGAGCTCGCAAACACGAAACTACTAGCACCTGCATTTTTTATAATTTTAAAATTAACGAGAAATCAAAATTATTAATTGTTTATACAAAATATACCAAGTTTCCTATATTATATCCGATGAACCGGAACCGCTGTAATCATTACACAAATTCCTGGCATAAGTTATTCATTATTAATAAATATTTGATTTTCTGAACTTTTTGGGAACAGAGATACACTTAATGACGTTTAAATTAAATAATCTAAACTTTAATATTTGTAAAATTAACGGTCTTGTAGGTATAAGTAGTATCTTACACTTACGTTATTGGGTCACTGTACAATAATTGACAGTCAGCGTCCTATTTGTATAAGTTTAGTCCGTAGAGAATCCCTTGAAAATGAACACAAGAAAGAGGTGCCGATGCCGAAATATTGACTACCAATTGAGTGCGATTCATTGAATTTGCTCTATCGACGCATAGTATATAAACAAAGCAAATTAAAATGTTTTCCTGAGATAAAATATAACTTCATCAGGATTCGTTAGTGAATTAAATAGATTCATTGTTACTACTGTTTTCTAAAGAAAAACATGAAGAAAAAACATTTGTCAATTTAAATGAAATTTTAGACTATTATTTCAATTATTAACAATCTGCTCGTAAGCAATTTATTTCTATCTGGTTTAAAATATCATGTTTTGATTAAAATATTATCCTTTTTGTTTAGATTTTCTGACGTTCCCTACATCAGCTACAGCTCCAATGGAATATGATTTTATTGAGACCAATAAATCTTATTTGACAACTAATAGGAGAAAAGACCCAACTTATGTATCAACAAAGTCTTCCATCCAAGATGAACATTTCTATGAGGAAATCCCAGCTGATAGAGTGAAGTCCGAACAGCTTAATATATCTAACAGAACAAAGGTGTATTCAGAGGACAGTGACATTACTGAAACTACAAATCTTCCATATGAAAATTTAAATAAAATAAGTATTCCAAACAGAACAATAGTGTCTTCAGAGGACTGTGACAATACTGAAATCCCAAATCTTTCATATGAAAATTTAAATAAACTAAGTATTACAAACACAACAAAATTGTCATCAAAAGTGTCTTCAGAGGAGGGTGACATTACTGAAATCTCAAACCTTCCATATGAAAATTTATATAAACTTAGTACCGTTATCGCTAAATCAGATTCTGGTGACTTACAAACTCTGGCAACAAATACTATAACTGACTTAGCATTTGAAAACCAGGAGTATCAAAACACACCAACGTCAGAAAGCACAAATTGTGACTACGAAATAAGGAAGAAACTGGATAAGACTTCGCGGAAGATAAATATCGTAAATACAATATCTTGCCCTCCTGATGTGGAGAATTTGTCAGTTCAAGAATTAGGACAGTATTTACATGTTTTGAACTTGGGAAAACACGAAGAAAGTCTTTCCGATGCTCTCATTGATGGATCTCTTATCAAAGAACTGGATGAAAACATTCTTCGAGAGGAGTTTGGTTTCACACGATTTGAGGCAATAAAACTGATGAAATTTGCGCGAGATGGATATTTGCCAAAAACTTCACAAGAAACCTTTTTATAACGATTGTTTGCTGAATGTATCGACAGCCGAACAAAAAAAATCCTTATTTTTTATGTTAAAATACCCTATGCTTTACTTAGATTGTGCTTTGCTTGATCGCCTTAGATCAGAAGAGACAGCAACTAACAAGTATTTAGTCCGTAAAGTGTTTTGTCGAACAGTATCTTAATTAAACACGATAGGCATGATAAGCATACTTATCAAATCGAAACGTCAACAGAAATCACTTTATTACATGTACATATTTGAATTGTCGTAACTACAATGCCATCCTCTTTTCCTGGATTTTGACTTCAGCGAATGGGACTTATCACAGTCTTTGTACTGACTATGAACAACACGAAGGTTGCCACGTGTGGAGTTTGATAATCATGCTTAGCCTTCCGAAGCACCCGAGTGTTTTGACTGCCGGATTCTCTTTGACCTTTAAATTTTAAACGTCTCTTTGATATCTTCCGCCCATTTTTATTTGATTTATTTAATTATACAGTTGTTTGAATCAAGGCAGTATTTTTATGTTATAGTTATTGACCAAGCAAGAGGGTCATTTAATCAGCACGGCTCGGGTGACCCTACTTGACCAAAAAAACGTAGAAGTTCGGGTAAAAGGGTCATCCTGACCGTGCAGATAAAATTATATATACCGATTTGATTGTTCAATAACTGTTTTAACGCACATGAAGCCATCAATAATCATGACCGTTTTGGAAATATTCGGGCGATATTCAATCCACGGCTCCTGTGAAAGTTTGCTTGTAGGGTGAAGAAAGGGGGAACATTTAAGTAATAAAAGGTTGGTAACTTTTAAATTATATTTTTTTGTGATTTTCATGCTTTCTCCTTAATTGTTACAGTATTTGGAGAATTGTGGTTTAAACCGACATAAACGATTTAGAACTTTACATATTGTTTAAACACGTGTCTATTGTTGAACACTATATGTTTCCCTCTTGATTGCTGTCTTATTGGCGTACAACACATCTCCTACAGTTTAAGTCCGTGTGATGTACTTTGAAATCAGTGTATGACAAATCAAAAATGCAAGGGTTATTGAGTATAAGAATAATTGCTTCTCATTCCCTCAAGAATATGATCAGAGGAAGATTAATTGAAGAGAGATGTACATAAATTTATATTGCAAAGTAAACAAAACAAAAAAGTTTCACTTTTTAATCTTTAAACTGCCCCTCATCCCCCCCCCCCAATAATGTTTCATCTTCATTCATTCTGAAGACATGTTCCATCTAAAAGAAGTATGATAGATCTCCTACGGTTATCTGCAGTTCGTGTGGTACAAACATTATAGATAAAAGACACACACACAATGAGAAAAATACTGACATTTTGATTATGTTTTGGAACAGTGATTTCGGCTGCATATACATTTGTATTGGGTTGGGTCGGCATAAGAACAGTTCAATAGTGTAAAACACCGCGGAACTAGCTGTTCCTAATTCTTTAGTACTAAAAAAATCTGTAAATGAGCAAGACAGTGTGCCTGTAGCGACAGATGAGCATATATGTTTCCCTTTCCCATGCTTTTTCATGTTTGTGTTTTTCATCATTTTGCTCCCCCTGTCCATCACGAATAAAAAAAAAAACGTAATCATTATTACCACCAATGTCCTTAAATAAATGTTTCATATACCCAAGGAAACATTTCATTCCTATCTAGGATATAATTTTGATAGGGTAAAGTGTCCTTTTTTTCGTTTGTTGACTTTGCTTTCCATTGTCTTATATTCGCACACAAAGTTTATTCACTTCAGCTACGCATGTTTCTAAAAATATAATATATTTATCAAAATTCGAAGATAGCTAAAAGAGGTCAAGTGAATAAGTAGACGGAATCTCCAGTTCTATCTATACGCGCCAGTTACATATTTACTTTTCACCTGGTTCAAATGACAGCGTAAAGAAAAACATGAAACAATTTTGGACTATATGTGTAAGTTCAGTATTATTTTATACATTTTGGGAATCCTTCCAAAAGAGAAAAGTAAAGTAAAAGGATTGTATTTTAATGATTTGTACATGAATGAATCTTTAATATTTTAGATATTCTTTGCAATGGCAAGTATTGTATTTTATTTTGAAAACTGTTACAGATAGAGACTGTCCAAAAAGGTTTTAATGACAAGATCTTTCCAATGTTTATTTTGATCAAAATTGTCAGATGACCCCTTTTAACTATTACAGACAGAGAGAAAATGATCATTTACCAGTTCTACAAATAAGTCAATAAGGCCAAAATCGTTAGTTGAAACCATATAGGAATTATTTCCCTTGAATGACTATGTTTTTTTTCCCATTTTGTTGGTTTTGGTCCAAGACATGATCTACAAATAGATCAACGTAGCCAATAATAGTCATGACAACCCTTATATGAGTTATTGCCCTTGGAAAACGAGTATTATACTATTCAGCTATTGCAACAACTACAAAAAAAAAAAAAAAAGAAAAAAAAAAGATTGTGAATCGAAACTGTAAGCATTCATAGGATCTTCAATTTGGTCAATATCGACGAATGTGTCAGTTGACTTCCTATAAGAGCTATATTCTTTAAATCATGAATTACCAATTTTTGCATTTTTTTGGGACAAAAACGATCGTAAAAAGAAATTATATGTAGGACCGTAAATATAAAGAATGATCAGCAATACAAGATAATTAAAAGAAAAGAGAATTTAGTCATGAATTACATTTTAGTCTTTAATTTTGGAGAATTACCATTGTTGAAGATGTGCATAGATTAAGGCGAGCGACAAAGGCTCTTTACCTTTACAGCCTCTTGTTAGGTAACCTTAAATTTCACGTTAGATCCACCTTACATCTCGTTTGAGATTAATTTCATGTAAAATATATCACGTTATTTTAACTTGTGATTCATGTGAAATTCACGTGAGCCAAATTTGCCTGTGTATATAACCGTATTTCATGTAATTTGTTTGTATTGCGTATGTGTATAGTCTCTCCTTAAATAAAATGTGTTTGGACATGCTGATTGTGACAGCGTTCTAAATAAGATATAGGAATGCTATGTTCGTCAATGTCTAAATTAAAAGAAGCTTAATTCTGTCTCCACTTCTGGAATTTTCGCCAAGAAAAGTATTAGGCACGCCATGTGTAATTTTAAGCAAAAAATTAAATCACAAAAATACTGAACTCCGAGGAAAATTCAAAACGTAAAGTCCCTAATAAAATGGCAAAATCAAAAGCACAAACACATCAAACGAATGGACAACGGATTATGTTCTATAGAACTGCTTGATTTCAGATGTTCTTCTGTCAAAGATAATAAACTTGCAATGTCTATATATCGTGGACGTTTTGTGTTTGTGTTTATACAAACAAATTAGCTGCTTTGTTTGTTTATGTCGTACATGAACACATTGCATACATTGTAGTCCCTGTGGTAGCTATTTGAACAGCTATTAGTTAAATGAAATAAGATAAGATAATCAACTTTATTTCTGATGTATTTTATGAACATTCAATGAAATAATGTCCCTGTTTTGTAGACGATATAACAGGTTGAATAATGAATAATGAACTATTCCATTATTCATAATTGAATTTGAATTTTGTAAAATTAATAATGGACGTATTTTAGCGCAGTTATTACAGATATATAGGTAGAAAAAAACATAGTCCATGATCTATATTCTAACGACTTGTATGCATTTCCAAATAATTCTTTTTCAATAACTCAATTACTTAGGTCCATTCGGTAAAGTGATTTAAACCCATGGCACATTTGATTTTGACATCAACTGTCTAGTTCTTATGTACTTTGAACTCTGATAGACGTCCGTTGACTTTTCATATCAGCAAATGTTATTAGGTCAGATAAGAAGTCATGAAAGAAATTCCGGTCAGTGTTATTTTATCAGTTTATTGATTCGTCCTTAAATAACCAGTTCGCATGTGAAATATCTGTCATGTAATAAAATGAAAACATCTTCACGGGTAGTAGCGTTGTCATATCGAGACACGTTTCGTACAGTGATTTTGTTACTATTTGGTACAGTTAGTCATGGTTTGGTAAGGTCACTCGCCGGACCGATTGACCTCGTTCTCTTTTAATAAGCATAACAAAGTTAATAAGATATTTGATTCAATGTTTTACGTCCAACTTTCAATATTTGAATTGTGTTTGTTGAATACTTACGCACGTAAAGTATCATATCGAAAATTGACATGGTTTCGATCACATTTGTCATGGTTTGGATAAAAATTAGTTTCACAAAAATATTGATAGTTTGTTCGAATGACACGTTATGTTAAAAGAACACAAACACACAATGTACCAAATAATTGCTAAGAAAGGTAGCCGTAGTTTTTAACTAATCTAATGAGTATAATCGGCGAAACATACCTACAAAATCGTACTCATAATTAGTATTTAAAGATATTATAGCTGTGAAAAGTACAATTCATGTAGGCATAACTTGCATGTGTTGCCATTCAATATAACTCTTTTTCTTCTCAAACTATATCCGTATGTTGGTTACGCCAGGAATGTATATTGCAACACGACATTTGGAGTCAAACAGTAACGACTGACAAATTTTTGTTTTCTTAATCTTGCAATTCTACTAAAAATATCCGCATCAATGCCTCGAAATGGTGTGTTTACAAGTAAGGTTTTAAACCACTAAGTCGTATGCTAATAAAAAGATTTGCCATATTTGATCATTTTATTAACACATTATACAAACCATGCAATATGCGATTGGACGAAGTATGTTTGGCATATATCACGGTTAGAAGTACGTAGCCGTCGTCGTAGACGTTTCTCATGACAGATAATCTATGTCTCCTTTGTTTCGTTTCTTTTCGTTTCGTTTCGTTTTGTTCTGTTTTTTTTAGGAGGCGTGCATCTAACATAAAAAATATCAAATAAATCCTCAAATCAAACCAGCTATAGAGGCAGGGAAGAAACACAAACGAATATGAAAAAAACGGACCCATAAACTAAACACATCAAACAGTAAAATGATATTATTGCACAGAATTATTTTTGTTTGTATTTGTTTTATTTTAAAACAAACTACATGTACATTTTAAATGTTGTGAGACAATGATTCGAACAGTAATACATAGTAATAATAGAGCATTTGAGTAAAAGAGTAACATTGATTTTGATAGATCCATTGGTAAATCAGACAAATTTCCTTTGCTTTAAATAGAAAAAAAAAATGTTTATTTCGAATAATCCAGATGAAAATTAATTGCTCTGGTTGTGCAATTTTATCATTTCATCAAGTAAGTTTTAACCGGGAGAGTGGCTACTGGATTGACGATGGTCCTTAACCATAAATGTAAACAGGAGACTGGATACTGAAATGACGATGATAACGAGATGCAAACCACTACCGGTTGCAGATGTCACCGATAGACAATGACTAGGACCTAGTCATTTGCCTGAGAATACTCGCTTTAACTCCACTGGTAGAATTAAACACAAGTCCTATGCAGTAGTTAACAATTTAATGATTCAGGATTGAATGCATGTAGTTTTACAAAATAGGCGGATGTTGTCAGTTCGAATGTCTGACTCTCACTGAAGTCATAACTTCAGAAAACACATTTAAATCAAGAATTTACATAGTTACAATTTCTTCATAGAAATGAGATCATCGAATGACAATGCAATAATACAGTAAGCACTTAAAGGTTTAACAAAAGAATATAACAAAAATTTGTCGCTTGAGTTTAAGGCTTAATAAGGCTGATTGAAAAGACTAAAGGATTAATTATTCTATACGTAGGAAAACTTAAGAACTATGTAAAGTTGTGACCTTAT